TCACTTCCTTCGAAGCAAAGAGTATTACAAGACCTGAATGTTGGGGTTCCCTACTAATCATGGCTTGTTCTGCTTCAGGGTCCTTCATCAGAAGTATCCCTGTCGCCCCAGCTGTACAGGATAGAGACAATTTGTCTCCCTGCACACAAGAAGTACCTTCTTCTTCATCAATGGCAAACATTTCTGTCTGTCCAGTATCAGAGTGCACAGGACTTGCAGCAATGTCCTGTTTACTCATTGTCTCTAAGGTCGTCAAGAACTTAAAAGAACTATCCTCCTTATCTGTTATCTCCGCCCTGGTCTGGCTTTCACATACCAAGTCTAGTGGAGGCAAATAAGGGGATTTGTTGCGGCCATAACAGTCAACTACTTTGGGCGAAAAGTCAGAACTAACTATTTCTATTTTGTATGCAATCGCATCAAGGGAAATAGGGGAAACAGGTTTAGTGTTATTCCCTACATTAGTCTGCTTTACTTCTTCTTCTTGTTTGGAAGGACCAAAGGGATTATGGGAGTTGGGTAAGGCTTTGCCCTCGTCCTCATTAATGGCTGGTGTGCCAGTCGAACCAGTATGTCGCCGGTCAGAACAGTTATCACGCTTGTGATTACTGCGGGGTGTGCTCTCATATATCTCATCTGAGATAATGGGAGTAATGGGTTCCAGCAATGTAGATCCGGTCCCTTTAGAAGATTTCTGCTTCCTATTCCATCTTTTCCTTTTAGGCTTAAGAATGGAAGTAAATAGGGCCAGCAATGTAGATCCGGTTATCCCTACAGAAAAGTTCCTAATGTCAGCTCTGTCCCTATTAGGAATAAGAGAGGTGGGGCAAGGTCGTGGGTGGTCTATTACTTCATCCCTTGATGAAGTACCGTTTGGCAAAATAGTACACACCTCTCCATTGAGAGAGTGAGTCCCAGACCTTTCTACTAGAGTGTCAGTATGGGAGTTGTCAGTTCCCTCAACTACCATAATAGTGTTCTCACCGTTCCCTGTGTCTAACTGCAGTTCTCTATTCGTCTGCCTAAGTCGATAGTTATGCTGCTTTTCTTTAAAAAGCCTCATTCTTTCACTAGCTGTCTCCTCTAGGAGTTGCAACTTTCTAGCATCTTCTTCTTCTTCAATTTGCCGCATTCTCTCTTCTTCTTCCCTCTCCGCTGCATGACGGGCAAGCATCGAGTCATATTCTTCTTTCTCCAACTTTCGCTTCTTCTCTGCAGCATTACGGGAACTCATGTAATCGAAAGTATCCATATGGCCTTTAACATATGATTCTAACTGTGCTCCCACTCTACCCTCAGCTATCCCGATCTTCCTTACATCTTTTAGGAACTCGGTGCGTAAGTCCATTCTATCTATTAGATCTATCTAAAGATAAATATAATACTACCCAGATTCCGGAATAAAAGAATATGTCAGAGCAAGGTAAACTGGGCAAGAGAGTAGCCTATGACAGCCGCACAAAGATGTAAATGAATCAAAGTTGCCTACCAGACTGACAGCTTATAGAATAGTATAGCAGCACAGAGATTACACTGGTAAATGATGTGATGTGATCTTACATTCAGTCACTAAGCATAAGTATCAATGATATGATGTCAACATATAATGCTCTACAATCTATATCAAATTATGAAACATGCAAGCAAATATAATAATCATCAACATTAAAATTTACTAAATAAACAATAATCAATGGTTATGAAGCGATCAATGATAAGACATGATACTATCCATTTATTGATTTTAGTAAAAAGTTATTTATTACTTTGTAATCTCTCCCCATGTATAAATTACTAATTTTAATTTAGACTATACTGGCAGAAGAGTTAAAGTTAAATTTTTAAAATTTACTTTCATTAGTCTAGGAGTAATTAGCCCAGTCCTATCCCGGACGAGCTCCCAGTGTGACGTGACGGGTGGTTTAAATGTTTATCATGTTGAGTAGGGATCTTCCTTTCAACACATTCTCTCCACCAGATAAACCGAACTAAAATCTGAGCTATGTTGCTCTCAGACAAAGTCCTGGATATCCAAGAAAACAGCCAAATTGGCTCGTTAAGTACTTTAACATTAGCTGAACTTGGTACCCACAAGAGAAGGCAAGGAATTTTAGATGTCTATCATACTTAATGAATTATTAGACAGGGCAAGTGATTCCTCCGTCATCTACCTTCTCCCGGTTTTTTTTATGAATAATTAAAGAATTATTATATTATTTATTGAGCCCCCACCAAATGTTATTCTATCCTAACAGTTTAATTAAACATGTAAGAACAGACATTTGGAATTTAACAAACTATGTAGTTTAAAACTTGACATACAGCTTTATTTACTACAATGAAATTCCCAGTTTGTTGATTTACACAAACAGTGACTGGTTAATGAAAGTGATACGCTTCAGCGAGACAAACAGCTCGGGGTTTAGAGTGGTATGATAATGATGATAAAAGGTTAACATAAAGGGGTTAACTCAACTTATAAGCCTCTGACAGCCGTGAGGAACTGTCAAGCTTGTCCAACTCTTCCTTGCCTGTTGTCTGCCTGTTTCAGCTTATTCTCCACTTCCTCCCCACCTCGTTCTCCACATCGTTCTCCACCTCGTTCTCCACCTCGTTCCCAGCTGGCCGAGTCTAACACAATGTAGGCTACTTCATGGACTGATCGTCACATGGACGCTGTAATCATGGAAACAAAACACGTACGTGTAGTATCTTGACTTACACTAAGAATACATGTATCAATTAATACAACATATAATAATAAGATATAGCCCATCACTCCTCCTCATATTCCACATCCTCTCCAGTCTAGTCTGAAGGTCTTTTGTCTTACATGGGCGTCACATATCCTGCCTTCCCCCCAATGCTATGTCATGATAGTTGACTTTCTAAGTCTGTTGTCCGTCTTCACTCAGACTTCCAATCATTGTTTTTACATCAACACGTGGGGCAGGTTATGTGCTAAAACTCCAACCATTTTATATGTGCACGCTGTCCTGAATATTATCTTTCAGTGACCGTGAATACTGTACACCCATCATTCTTCCCCTGGGGTTATAAATCCCCTGTTTAGTTGAACACATTAAGTGATCACATGGTGGGCACACAAAACGTAGCAGCATCCCTGCACATATTTGGGCATCATTTCCCACAGTCCCAACTCATATTTTGGCTGATCGTGAAAACAATATAATTACATTTCATTATAGCAAATGTCATTGTTCACATCTTATTTTATACACATGAAAACATACAATGAAAAAATTGTGACACAAACATACAAGAATTAGGAATAGTTTAGCAGTTCCCTAACTGAGATACTGAATATTCACAAAGAACTATTTCAAGCAGAATGTGCAGACAAATCAGGAAAAGGTAGTATAGACTAAAAGCTTAACTCCCTAACCTAAGTATACAAGATTAAAATTAATATTCACCTGGGAACTTTTCCATCTATCGCCAAACCAGAGTACGACAGTAAAATATACCTTTACGTCGACCTGTGTTTGTTTGCCGGCAGGCTGCGATTAATGACGGGAATTCCACAGGCTCGAAGTATAAGTATCAATCTATTGTCCAAATTAAACTCCTCCCTTTACTTAGTTTTTACCCAACCCTCAAGATGATGGCTTAAGCTCCGCCTCTGAAGTACCTATCAAATCAAATTAGCTAACAAGTGGCCTGTCACTCACAGTGAACGGCCTACAGTACGACCTTGACCAAGATAAAACATTCCTAATCGCCAAACACCTGTTCTCCCCAGAATTACACTGACGTGTTAAACTTTAAACTTCTCCTCGCCTCAATGTCTAGGGTCCGCTCCATTCGTGTTAGGTTATCTTTTATGACCTACGGTCCAGCTCAGGTGTGATGCTAAGTTCCCCGTTCGCTGGCCTCTACAGTCTGTGGTCAGGAGATAACATTCTGACACTGGCATGAGAATAGAATTCCTAGCTACAGTGTAAAGTTTTAGGTAATATTACCCAAGGTTGGGTCGCTTTGTCTGGACTAAGGACTGGAAACATTTAAATCAATACGGTTTAAAGTAACATTTGGTTTAAGGGCATAGTCTCTTGTCTCTCAATAACCAGAAGAACTTATTACAAGTACTAACTTCTGGAACCACTGAGGTCGTCTCGTGACAAGCAGGTTCTTTGCAGAAAGTCGCAGTCATCACGTCTGCCTAAAAAAACACCGCTGTCGCCAACTGCCCCGCTTCCGGTACTGTCATACCCAAGAAGTCACCTACATCCTCTGCCCATCTTTATGCTGGTCGGTCCCTGCCTCTCCTTCCTGGTACCATACCTTCTGCTATTTCTTCTCGAGCCACCCGTGGTGCTTGGTGTGACAAAAATATTTCACTTTCCTCGACAATTTAAACAGTCGCATTCACAGGTTCTGTGATAAATGAGGTCATTTGCCTGATCAGCACATGATGATGATGGTGGTGACTGATTGGCATCTTTCCAGACGATAGTGTTATGTTTCGTTCTGAGGGGCATGGGACTCACAGCCCATGGTGACGGCGAGTGTGACTATCAAGACCCGCCCGTCTTTCACAATTATAGCATGGGATTTCAGGACCAATGTTGTCAACCGTTGTGTTTGGTCTGTTTCTTCTTAGACACTTTTTTTAGACTCATCCTTTCTGCAATCATTTCTTCCTCCATTCTCATTCCCTCCTGGTGTACATACTCCACACAACACGGTTAATGGTATTTTGTTCCTACGAGTCCATCTCAATACCTGTATCATTCATGTCCCGCGTGTACACATTATTATATCGTAGAAGAGGTCGCCTCGACATCTTCTACCCATCTTTAATTCCCCATTGAGCAGCGGTTCTCATCCTGTGAGCTGCGACCCTTTTGGGGGTCGAAAGACCCTTTCACATGTGTCGCCTTAGACTATCGGAAAACACATATTCGCTGAAGTAGAAACGAATACATATAGCTGGTAGTGACTGGGTTATGTATAACTAAACAAAAATGTTACATTACCCGCCGCTGTGACGTCGTAGAGCGGACTGTCCTGTGTGATCTCGTGGCTCAACACCATTGGGTAGAAAAGAAAGAGATGGTCTTTCATTCCATGAGCTTTGAACTCCACATTGAACTGTTGGGGAATGTATCAGATACAACATAAGTAGGTCAATGATTGAGTTTTTGTATACAGTATTTATGCAAACTATGTGCTTGAATAAACGCTAGGTCGGGTTACTTCAACCTATCTACATCCACGGCCCACCACACCAGGGACAATGGTTTCGCGGCCCACCACACCAGGGACAATGGTTTCGCGGCCCACCACACCAGGGACAATGTATCGTGGTCCACCAAACCAGGGACAATGTATCGTGGTCCACCACACCAGGGACAAGGTATCGTGGTCCACCAAACCAGGGATAATGGTTCCACGGCCCACCACACCAGGGACAAATGGTCCACCACACCAGGGACAATGGTATTTCACGGCCCACCACACCAGGGACAATGGTTTGCAAGACCCCCCAGGGGATAAATGGTTTTGCGGTCCACCACACCACACCAGGGACAATGGTTGCAAGACCCACCACACCAGAGACAATTGTTTCACGGCCCACCACAACAGGGACAATGGTTGCAAGACCCACCACACCAGGGACAATTGTTTCACGGCCCACCACACCAGGGACAATTGTTTCACGGCCCACCACAACAGGGACAATGGTTGCAAGACCCACCACACCAGGGACAATGGTATCGCGGCCCACAAAGACAACTAAAAAGCACAAACACAGCTGACTCGTACGTTGCTACACTGGCTGCTGCACGAATCGTTGTCCTGATTGTCAGAATGGTTATGTAACCGCCAGGCTCCATAATATTACTGCTCTATTCTGGTTGAACAAGGCTTTGGGGATTTGTACATCTCTTCTTCTTCGCGTTCATGGCTGTAAACTCTGGCGGAAAGTGTTTATTCGTTCACCTCTGTACTTTTAACTTGTTCCAGAATCTGAGTGTTGAATGCACATCAGTTTTACAGATCTGACTTTTTTTATGCAGTCTGATGGCTCCTTGCCTCATAGGCAGATGGACTTCGACTTTAACAGAAAGCCCCGATTAGTCGACTCTTACGACATGCTTGTTGGAGTGGCAGACGGTCTATTTTTTCGTTTCCCCTCAATGGGGCCCCAGGACTCACACGGGAAGTTGTACATGTTTGCTTTTCTAAACTTCAAATTGTTAATTCTTATGTCAAATCAGTACTGTTGTATGGAGCGGAATCATGGAGAACAACTAAGGCAGTTTGTTGACATGCATGGCATTGTGATGCTAGGGTGTCTGTGGATTACCTACCCCCCCCCCCCCCTTTCCCCCGGGCAGCAGCTAGAAATGCCTTGTATCAGTTCTAAAGGAAATATGGGTTGGGTTTCTGTCTTTCCCTTTAACACGTAGCTAAGGTGGGGCTCACAGTGTGCTCATTCCCTGGCCACAAGATTGCCTGCTAGTTTCGCTGAGCTCTTCATGGCTCTAAGCATGGCCTAAGCATGAGTAGTTGGGGCAACTGGATCGTCACGCCCTGAGTCCCTGTGCCTTCATGATAGTTTCCGGTATTCAGGGGGGCTAGCATACTTGTTTCCATTCCTAAGACTGTTCAGCACCCCTCCGGCTCCTTCCCTCCCACAGGGGGCAGTACGGTGTGGTGCACCGGTTTTATTATCGAGTTTTGCTCCTCTAGATTCATTGTGTTTTGCCTGGGGATTCGCACCCCCAGTTACCAGGACTACCTCGGATAGGGTGTGGTTCTTCGCCATGCACAATGGTCTTGAGGTAAGAGAGGTTGTGCTAGGTCAAGAGGCTGACACCACAATGGACGCTCCTTTCGTGAACAGATATTCACTAGACCTAGGGTGAAGTTAGGAGGGGGGGGGGGGGACCACTACCCACAACACCAACACTTCTCACCCCCTGCCACTCGAGGCTCAGTCCCAAGGCAGTTACTAATAAACCACAGACATTCATTAACTGGTGCCTGCGCAGAATAGAGGGAATTAAATGGTATGATAGAGAATCACTAATGTAGAGCATAGGGGTGAGAACTAAGCAAGCTCCAGTGGACCAAGAGGGTGAAGAAAAGACGCTGGCGTTAGATAGGACACACACTGAGAAAACCGGAAAACAATATAACTAGAATGTCTTTGTACTAGAACCCACAGGGACATAGGAAAATGGGAAGGCCAAAAAACACACGGAGAAGAAAGCTGGAGAATTAAGTTAGAAAGATGGGGAGACCTGCGTGCGATAGCAAATGATAGAACGACTTGGCGTCGGTTGGTTGAGGGCCTATGCTAGAAAGGGAGAAGAAGCTCTTCATCCTTGAAGTGTGAAATCTTACAGACAGCAATCATGGGCCATCGACTGAATAAACCAGCGCTACATTATTTGCTTTTACTTGGCATGTCTCCGTATGTCTCCGTAAGACTCCGTCTGTCTCCGTCTGTGCGCCTGCTTGTCTGTTCCTTGTTGTTATATGTGAAACTTCCGGTCCACTATAGCATATATGCAGATTCAATGTTTTTATCGTTGCAAGTTCTTGCTCCTGGCAAAGGTTAGCCGTTGCAATTTCCCCTATATACGGACTAAAATATATAGTTCCTTCGCCCAAATACTGAACTAAGTGCATGACGCGACACTGTTAGCTGTGGATTTAATTTGGAATGCCTTTCGACTTCTCTTACGTGGGTTTGTGTTGGGAAATGCAGATTCGGAAAATGGCGAGTGGTCTGTTTCTACAGAACTGGTGGGGCGATTAATACTATTCACTGCGCGTGCAACTACTGCATTTCTTGTACTGGAATGTTCGTGTTGGCACTTCTGACGGCTGTATTGTGCATGTACGCGTGTGTTTGCTGTTGGCTCTGCTGAGACTACAGTCTGGTAATTTATTTCACAAGGAAGACTGATGGGCATTCTGTTCAGTTTTGTTGGCACGGGAACAGACCAACTATGGAGTTACCCGTTGGCACGGGAACAGGGCAACTATGGAGATACCCGTTTGCCGTGAAGTAGAAACTTCGCTAACCTGATTACCTGACTGTTATAGGTTCGAACCCTCTTGAGGCAGATCTTTAAAACTTAAATTATCGGCGAAATCTAAAAATCTGCACCATGAATCATTTTAAAAAGTTAAAGTTTGTCCGCCCCTTTGTCTACAGTCTGTTTGTCTAACTATCCGTATATCTGCCTGTCTATAAGTTTGACTCACTGTCGGTCTATCCGTCTGTTCAAACATCTGTCTGTATTTTCTTTCTGTCCGACTATCGGTCCGTCCATCCATTTATCTATCTATCCAACCTCCCATCTGTCTTTCCATCTGTCTGTCTTTCTGTGTTTCATTCTGTGTTTCCGCTTGTCCATCTTTTTTTCTAACTGACCATGTTAAGACTGTTAAAAAACACACAGACACACACTCACAGACAGACAGACAGACACACACACATACACACACACACACAAATCACCGGTGCTGAACACAACGACAGCTTACCTGATACAGCGGGTAGACGTGTTGTTCAGCTGTGGTGTATGTCTTGATGAGAATACCGTGCACTTTTGCGTCTATGAGATGAGTATCTCGAATATCCCCGACGCGAATCTGCAGGGTCATGTGACTGTCTTCAAGGCAGATAGAGGCCTTCTTGCTGATGATGACATACATAGCACATAGATGTGATCTTCTTCTTTTTCTCTTCCTCCTCCTTGACTTCTTCGTCTTTTTCCTCATCTTCTCCTTTTCTATCTATCTATCTATCTATCTATCTATCTATCTATCTATCTATCTATCTATCTATCTATCTATCTATCTATCTATCTATCTATCTATCTATCTATCTATCTATCTATCTATCTATCTATCTATCTATCTATCTATCTATCTATCTATCTATCTATCTATCTATCTATCTATCTATCTATCTATCTATCTATCTATCTATCTATCTATCTATCTATCTATCTATCTATCTATCTATCTGTCTGTCTGTCTGTCTGTCTGTCTGTCTGTCTGTCTGTCTGTCTGTCTGTCTGTCTGTCTGTCTGTCTGTCTGTCTGTCTGTCTGTCTGTCTGTCTGTCTGTCTGTCTGTCTGTCTGTCTGTCTGTCTGTGTCTGTCTGTCTGTCTGTCTGTCTGTCTGTCTGTCTGTCTGTCTGTCTGTCTGTCTGTCTGTCTGTCTGTCTGTCTGTCTGTCTGTCTGTCTGTCTGTCTGTCTGTCTGTTCTGTCTGTCTGTCTGTCTGTCTGTCTGTCTGTCTGTCTGTCTGTCTGTCTGTCTTTCTGTCTGTCTGTCTGTCTGTCTGTCTGTCTGTCTGTCTGTCTGTCTGTCTGTCTGTCTGTCTGTCTGTCTGTCTGTCTGTCTGTCTGTCTGTCTGTCTGTCTGTCTGTCTGTCTGTCTGTCTGTCTGTCTGTCTGTCTGTCTGTCTGTCTGTCTGCTCTCTCTCTCTCTCTCTCCTCTCTCTCTGTCTCTATCTATCTATCTATCTATCTATCTATCTATCTATCTATCTATCTATCTATCTATCTATCTATCTATCTATCTATCTATCTATCTATCTATCTATCTATCTATCTATCTATCTAATCTATCTATCTATCTATCTATCTATCTATCTATCTATCTATCTATCTATCTATCTATCTATCTATCTATCTATCTATCTATTTTATCTATCTATCTATCTATCTATCTGTCTGTCTGCCTGCCTGCCTGCCTGCCTGCCTGCCTGCCTGCCTGCCTGTCTGTCTGTCTGTCTGTCTGTCTGTCTGTCTGTCTGTCTGTCTGTCTGTCTGTCTGTCTGTCTGTCTGTCTGTCTATCTGTCTTCTGGCTTTCTATTTATATATTTATCTCTCTGAATATCTATCTTTTTTTTTTTCATTTTTTTTCTGTTTATCCTTGCCTAAGATAACACAACCCTCCACAAAAATGCGAGCATGCAGAGGCGCTAGAACCTGGGTGCTAAGACCCCTTCGGACGCACCCAATCGCCACCCCACCTTATACCCCTTCAGTTCCACCCCACCCTCTTCGCCAGAGTGAGGAAGAAATATAAGAAATATCTGGGCAGCCACGTGAAACAAAAGTTATAAGACACACAAAAACAAAAAGATGGCGCTACACTGGACACACCCTGAGAAGAATTCTCGTGTCGGGGACAGCGGCTTTGGACAGCGCTGTACGAGAAGGATGTGGGTTTGAGCCCAGTGCTTATTCGTGGGAACGGACAGGCGTGACTAGTGATTGTAAAGCCGCTTATTACATTAAAGATTTAGTGTGTGCTCTACAAGTGTTCGGCTTGGTGTGTATTTAAGCAGATTTATTCGTTACCGGCTTGCAACACGAGTCATATGTATTATACAAGAAAAAAGGTGTTGACACCAATGATGAAAAGCATCCGCTGCATAGAAGTCTAAAACATTTGAGAGAAGGCCGGCTGAAAGTGAGGAAAGTCATGGATGACACTAGCTAAAGATACCATCGGGCGACCGCCTCAGTCAAGCAAATACATGGGGCAATAACGGGTCGAAACGAACACCCACAACAGTAGTTTCCATGAGGTCATTATCAAATTAGGAAGAGAATGTAGAGAGTGGTGTAACGGAACGGCAGAATTAGAGATACAACAACTGATAGATGAAAATGCTGGGCTAGCTAACGCAGTAGTGTAGACGGATGGTTCTTTGATCAGGGTGAGATCTGGCTGGGGATTGTCAGCTAGAATGAAGGGAAAGATTGTGAACAAAATGGATTTTGTGTATCTAAAGCTTCAAGTATGGGTGTGGAGGTTGCGACAGTCACTGCAGCTCCAACGTGGATAGCAGAAGATCATTTTATCAGAAGAATGATTGTGTCTCAATTGGTGCAATGGAAGGTTCCCAATGGACACATGTGGCATGAGTGGATACCAAGCATCGGTACGCCAACACTGCAGGGAATCACGTGGATATACTGTAAGGGATATTATGCAGGGGGCGAGGGAATGAAAGAGCCGACTTTCTGGTTACTGAAGTGATAGCTACGGAAATACTCGTAATGGACAAGGGAGACATTCTGAAGACTATTTATGAACGAATGTTGATGGAAGGCGACGAAGAAGATTAGGCTTCTCCTAGAACCCCCATCCCCACCACCAAACTCCCCCCCCCCCCACCCCCCCCCCCGACCCCGTTTTTCCATAAAATAGTAGCAATATTTACTTGAAGATGAGAGTATGTCTGCTTTACCTGAAGATGAGAGTATGTCTGCTTTACCTGAAGATGAGAGTATGTCTGCTTTACCTGAAGATGAGAGTATGTCTGCTTTACCTGAAGATGAGAGTATGTCTGCTTTACCTGAAGATGAGAGTATGCTTTACCTGAAGATGAGAGTATGTCTGCTTTACCTGAAGATGAGAGTGTGTCTGCTTTACCTGAAGATGAGAGTATGTCTGCTTTACCTGAAGATGAGAGTATGTCTGCTTTACCTGAAGATGAGAGCATGTCTGCTTTACCTGAAGATGAGAGTATGTCTGCTTTACCTGAAGATGAGAGTATGTCTGCTTTACCTGAAGATGAGAGCATGTCTGCTTTACCTGAAGATGAGAGTATGTCTGCTTTACCTGAAGATGAAAGCATGTCTGCTTTGCCTGAAGATGAGAGCATGTCTGCTTTACCTGAAGATGAGAGTATGTCTGCTTTACTTGAAGATGAGAGTGTGTCTGCTTTACCTGAAGATGAGAGTGTGTCTGCTTTACCTGAAGATGAGAGTATGTCTGCTTTACCTGAAGATGAGAGTATGTCTGCTTTACCTGAAGATGAGAGTGTGTCTACTTTACCTAAAGATGAAAGTATGTCTACTTTACCTGAAGATGAGAGTATGTCTACTTTACCTGAAGATGAGAGTATGTCTGCTTTACCTGAAGATGAGAGTATGTCTGCTTTACCTGAAGATGAGTGTGTCTGTGTTACCTGAAGATGAGAGTATGTCTGTTTTACCTGAAGATGAGAGTATGTATGCTTTACCTGAAGATGAGAGTTTGTCTGCTTTACCTGAAGATGAGAGTTTGTCTGCTTTACCTGAAGATGAGAGTATGTATGCTTTACCTGAAGATGAGAGTATGTCTACGGTGTTTCGGCCGTGCAAGTTTCATGAACATAAACCCCAGAAGTGTGGTCTCCAGCAGAAATCCCAAGGTGATCTAATCAAACAGAAAGTTCCCACATAAAGTGTTTACATTTATTCACGAGCAGATTATACCGACGTTATAATTGTCGATAAAAATCACTAGGTTAACCTCTCATCTCGGCTTGATTCTTTTCTACATTGCCGTGCCTTGATGACAAATAATTTAGTTAGTTAGCTGGCTAGTGTGTTAGTTGTTAGCTGGTTGGCTAGTTGGTTAGTGAGTTTGTAATTTGAGTAGTTAGTTAGTTAGTTAATTAGTTAGTTAGTTAGTTAGTCAGTCAGTCAGTCAGTCAGTCAGTCAGTCAGTCAGTCAGTCAGTCAGTCAGTCAGTCAGTCAGTCAGTTAGTGAGTCAGTTAGTTAGTTAGTTAGTTAGTTAGTTAGTTAGTTAGTTAGTGAGTGAGTTAGTTAGTTAGTTTAGTTAGTTAGTAGTTAGTTTAGTTAGTTAGTTAGTTAGTTAGTTAGTTAGTTAGTTAGTCAGTCAGTTCAGTCAGTCAGTCAGTCAGTCAGTTAGTTAGTTAGTTAGTTAGTTAGTTAGTTAGTTAGTTAGTTAGTTAGTTAGTTAGTTAGTTAGTTAGTTAGTTAGTTAGTTAGTTAGTGAGTTAGTTAGTTAGTTAGTTAGTTAGTTAGTTAGTTAGTTAGTTAGTTAGTTAGTTAGTTAGTTAGTTAGTTAGTTAGTTAGTTAGTTAGTTAGTTAGTTAGTTAGTTAGTTAGTTAGTTAGTTAGTCGACAGATTATCCTCATTGTACATCGAACCATTCAGTCCATAAGTGCAAATGATCCAATCCTCAGTAAATCCATAGGCGTATATCGGCTGACGACACCAGCCCTGTGTTGGTTTCTAATCTTTTAAGGGCTGACTGCATCGTGCTCTGTCTGCCCACACCCTTTCGACCAGTCTGGTCATGGTTGCAGATTCACAGTCATCCCTGATCTCCCAAACGTCTTACTTCTCGTATAGCATTCAGTATATCAACCTGGTTCATGGCACGCCTGCCATCGTAGCTTTACCTGCAAGCCTATCAACGTGCTCATTTCCTTACACGCTTGTGCACCCTGGCACGAATATGAAACCGACGTGTGCCAGCCCCGATCGCCTCAGAGATTCCAGCCACTGTCATCGGACCCAGCCATCTTTGCCTTCCCGAGAGTACTCATTGGGTCACCTTGCTGTGTCGACGTGAAGTATAATTTGGGGAATGTACTCGTTTGGGATCTTTAATTGATATGCCCGGAATTGTGGTTGGTGGGCACAATATAAGCAATTTACGTTGTGCTGATGACACAGTTTTGATAGCAACAAGTCAGAAAGAACTACAGGAGATTATAGACACTGAGGTGTTAGAAAGTGGAAGAATGGGCCTCAGTTTGAATAATGGGCCTCTGTTTGAATAATGGGCCTCAGTTTGAATAATGGGAACACAGAAGTAATGGTGGTATTAAAGAAACGAAATATTCCTAAATGTGTAATAAAAGTCGTTGGTGTTATTTTAGGACAAGTACAGAAATTTAAGTATCTGGGCACATGAATAACATCAGATAGAAGATGCATAACTGAGATAAGAAACAGAATAGTACTGGCAAAAACTGCATTTTATAAAATGAAGAATATCTTGTGCAATATATCCTTGTCATTGAGAGTTAGAAAAAGAATTCTTGCTTGCTACATACATCCAGTTTTAACATATGGTTGTGAATCCTGGACAATCGGTAGGCAGGCCAAACAATTTCTTGAGGCCTCAGAGATGTGGTTTTACAGAAGAATGCTTAGAATACCTTGGACAGCCAAGAAAAACAACCAAGAGGTTTTGAAAGAGGTGGGAGCCCAAAGACAACATATCACAGACTTCAGAAGGAGACAGTCATAATTTTTCGGCCATGTTATGAGAAGATGGAAAATAGAACATGTTGTGACCACTGGAAAGATCTGTGGAAAAAGGGATAGAGGAAGAGAACGAGAGAAGGTTCTTGACAGTCTTGTTGCATAGCATGGAGGTGTATCGGCACACGATCTGATACATGCTGCAGGAGATCGTGGATTATGGAGAGGCATGATCGCCCACGCCAGTCGGCAAGGCACCTAATGATGCTGATGATGATGACTCGTTTGTTCGCTTCGTAAATGTGGATTTCCATGGACTATAATTTCCTCTGCGCATTGCTTGCATGGTCGGCCTCAGACCGTCTGGTCTGTACATCAATCATTGCCGTGGTATACTGTCTGCTGACATCCGCATTAAATGGCAAACCATTTCACTTCTTGTCTTCTAATGAAATCCAGAGCTGCTGTTATCCCATTTTCCTTCGCATTTCATAGTTTCTGATCTTCTCTCTATTCTGGTTATATTAAGTGCCTTTCAGTTTTCTTACCGTTTTATGTCTGTCATTGTCCGCGTCTGTCATTGTCCGCGACTGTCATTGTCCGCGTCTGTCATTGTCCGCGTCTGTCATTGTCCGCGTCTGTCATTGTCCGCGTCTGTCATTGTCAGCGTCTGTCATTGTTCGCGTCTGTCATTGATAGCACATGGTTGGAAAGAAGAGATGTCATAGAGTGCTCCTGGGTATTTACTGATAAGCGTTTACTGACAATAAAGCTCGAACATTCCGAAACATGAAACATGGCGTTAGACAGAGATGTGTTCTGTCACCCGGTTTATTCAATTTGTACAGTGAAAAAAATAATTAGATCCATACATGATATGCCAGGAATATCGGTTGGTGGGCATTTTGTTAACAACCTGCGATATACTCACGAAATAGTTTTGATTGCTGAAAATGAAACACGACTGCTAGATATGATGGACATAATTGTAACGGAAAGTGAAAACAAGGGTTTTAGTTTGAACACCGGAAAAACAAAAGTAATGTTAATTACATAGAACACCGACGCTTCAAAATGTAACATCTAAGTAAATGGGACAAACCTCAAGCAAGTTGATATGTTCAAGTACTTGGGTAACCTGATAACATCAGATGGACGATGTTTTAAAGAATTTAAATGTCGAATAGCTCAAGCAGAGGCAGAATCTTACGAAATGAAGCATATTTTATGCAATCATTTTTTTTTTTTTTTTTTTTTTTGTCAATTGAGACGTGAAAGAGGATTCTTAAAAGCTGTATAAATCGTATATTGATATTCGGAAGTGAATCATGAACAGTGGGTATATTAGTAAAAACTTTTTTGGAAGCTGCGGAAATGGGGTTTTATAGACAAATGATAAGAATACCCTGGACAGATAAAAAGGGTAATGAAGATGTCTTGGGAAAAAAAAAACTGACTAATGAAGAGAACTGATTGCTCACATCAGAAAGAGACAATCTAAATTCTGTGGTCATGTGATGAGAAGGAGAGAACTGGAGTACACCGTGACAGTGGGAAAGTTGGAAGGGAGGAGAGGCAGAGGGATGCCGATAGAACAGATACTGGACAGTTTGACATCATGGCATGGAAGATCATCTGTATCAGAGTTGATTGAAAGTACACAAGACAGAAGGTTGTGGGTAGACATTAGTTCCATTTGCCCAGTGAATGTTTGCGTTGTCATCGATCTCATCTTCTGTTATGCCAGCTGATGATATTAGGCTCCTAAATATTTGAAGTTCTTGGTCTGTTTCTGATTGTGTTATGTCAGCTAAAAAATTTTTTTTTTTTAAATCTAGTTTGGTTATGGTCATGAGCTTTGACTTGTTGGCAATAATTGCCATGCTATGCTTCTCGCATACTTAGCTAATTCGTTTATATAATCTTGCAGTCACTAGGTTAACAGTGTTCAGACATACAATGTGACCCCCCCCCCCTTTCCCTCTTCCACACACACTTCCCCCCCCCCTCTCAGCCATGTATGGGTTTTTTAAATAAATGTTTATACGTGACATGTGACTTAACATGTTATTATTGTGTCTTTTTGGGAGCCGCATTTGTAAAACCGCTAGACGCTCGCCTGCGTGCTCGGGGTCGTTGGTTCAAACCCGCACCGATCGGGATTTTCTCCTTTCAAACATGACCATGAGGGGTCGATCCAGCCTGAAACGTAATAGGTAAAGTCCTGGGAAGTTAAGGCGGCCAGTGTGAATTTGACCATATCGCCATCCTAATTTTTTGGCACCTGTCTACCTTTCCAGCCGATTGTGTTGTACATTGGGCTGTCAGGAGGCATGGGACTCACAGCCCATGGCGATGGCGAGTGTGACTAGCAAGACCCGCCCGCGATAAGATAAGTCTTTCACAGTTATAGCGTGGGATTTCAGGACTATTGTTGTCACCACATGTTCTTAGTATGTTTCTTCTCAGACGCTAAACTCTAATCATTTCTACAAAAATTTCTTTCTTCGTTCCCATTCCCTTCCTGCTTCACCGCCCTCCATGCAACACGGTCTCTGGCATTTGGTTCACAAGAATCTTCCTCAATACCTGTATCATTTATGTCCCGCTTGCACAGAGCTTTATACTGTAGTAGTATAGGTCGACCTGAACATCTTCTACGGATCTATAACTGACAACAGAGGATGTCCTTAGGAACTCTTGCCATCTATAATATCTAGGTCAAGCAGTATATACCCAATACACCCAAGGGGTGGGGGAAGGGACCTTGACCTTCTGCTCACTGGGCAATTTTATTTGCCCTTCAGCACAAATAATCATTATATATGTTTATATTATTATGAGTTGTGTAACGTGGACCCTAACGACTGAACTTGAAAGAAAGATATTTTCATTAGAAATGCCATGTTTCAGAAAATATTTTGGCATATCATACAGAGACCACGTTACAAACGAAGAGGTTCGCCATAAATTAGACAGCACATTGGCAACTATGAACCTCTTTTAACTACAATGAAAAGCGAAAATGCAATCGTACGGACATGTCATACGATCTAGCGGCCTCTCAAAAACAATACTGCAGGGCTCAGTAGCGAGAAAGAGGAGAGGAGGCAGAACAAGAAAGACCTGGTTACATAGCCTGACTGACTGGACAGGCCCAAGGCATGCAGCCATGAAGTCTATTGCAACTAACCACCAAAGGGCGAGAAAGCTAACCAGGCAGTCAACACAAACTGGTGATCCAACGACACGTAATGTTACGGGATAATAATTATTATTATGCTCTTAAACAAGATAAACGAAGCCCTTTTTCCCAGAATTTATTTTCCTTATTTCCGTGCAACAGCTTCGATTTCGTGGATGGAATCCAGGCCAGCACCTTTAACCTCTCTCATCAACGTTCGTTTTAGGGTTTCTTTTCCATGTCCTCAGTCCTCAATCCATGTATTTCACATTTTGTTAACTAAAGCGCCGCACACCTCGGCTTCAGTGATTTATTTAAGGCCGTAGCCCTGATGTTGATAATAGTTTTGGTCTTACTTGTATAAAAACAACTGGAATGACGGGGCCGCACTCGGCGTTCGGGTATAAGGTCCCATATCCAATGGTTGACTGGGTTTCCATAGAGAAGAGAAGCATGTCCCAGAAATTGTTGACTCCCACCAGACAGGGCATGAAGTCGGGCTTGGCTTTGTTGACCTGGTCAAAGTCGCCATGTCTGAAGAGAGAGGAAGTTGTAGTTGACACTGTGGTAAGATGAAATTGTGATAGGCGGAAGCGAGATCTGTCTGTCTGTTCTGTCTGAATGTATGTCTGTTTTACATACTAACCAATAAAATTAAACGCTTCCAGTATTGTACTACATCAACTGGCCAATCACCTTTATCAACACATATGAACAGCCAATGAGAACTAATAGTTATATCGTTATCCAATGAATGAAGCTGAGTCCAAATTTAAACACACACACACACACACACACACACACACCAATCAGCTTGCACATAACATATTATTGTGTTCATAATTTACAATGTTAATTGACATCGTTAGCCAATCATAAATATCAAGACATATGGTCAACCAAAACAATATATTTTACCTATGCAATTCAGCAGTAAATGCTACATCGTTAACGAATAAATGAATTTGAGTCAGAATTTAAAATTTAAAACACACACACACACACACACACACACACACACACAAACACACAAACTATTTAACTTTCACTTAACAGATTATCGTGTTAATAATAAAATATTAATTTGCAACTTTAGCCAATCACAGTTATCAAGACATGTGATCAACCAATAGAGTAAACTTTATCTATGCAATTGACCAGTAATAGTGACATCGTTATCCAATGAATGAAGCTAAGACAAAACATAACAACAACCAATCAGCTTACACATGACACATGAGGTAGTAAATGGCGGAGAACAGCAACATGGAGCTGGAGAAACCGGTGAAGATCAGCAAGAACGCCCATCTCCACTTCATGTCCAGCATTGTTACATAGATGTCCTTCAGGTATTTCCATCTCTTCAACTTGATGCCCCGGTAGACGATGTTGCTGAAAGAAATGTGCGAACGTGTCACTCATAAATACACCGGATTTTTTTTTTTTTTAAATCTGGCTTTTCCCGTGTGAGTTCAATGGTATCGTTGGGGCTGGGTGGGGGGGGGGTGGGGGGGGGGGGGGGCATATTGGGTAATAAAAAAAATTATCCACCTAAATAAGCATGCCGTTTAAATGGTTTGTTTGTCTTTATTTCTATGCCCTTGTGGGTTCCAGTACAAAGATATTCTAGTTATATTGTTCTCGGGTTTTCTCAGCGTGTGTCCTGTCCAAGCCAGCGTCTTTTCTTCAGCTCTTGATCCACTGGAACTTATTTAGTTCTCTTCCAAACTCAATATTAGTTAGTTATTCTATCATAATATTTAGTACCACATATTCTTTGCAGACACCATCAAATGTTTGTAGTTTATTAGTAATTGCCTCAGTTGTTCTCCATATTTTCACTTTATACAACACTATTGATTTGACATTAGAATTAAAAATTTCAAGTTTAGTATTTCTGTTAATTTCTTTAGACCTCCACAAATTCCCTAGTGCAATGAAAGCTACTCTTGGTTTTTTTGTGCTCGTATTTTAATGTCTCTATTCTTCCCCGGACCTTTATTTAGACCACTGCCCAAACAGATGTGCGACTCCAGGTGTTGGAGTGTGATACCATTAAGGGAAACAAGATTACTGTTTCGCCTGACTTATTCTCATTACAGTGGAACCTCGCTTAACGAGCATAATTCGTTCCAGAATCATACTCGTTAAGCGAAACAATCGTTATGCAAAATAGTTTTTCTCATTTAAATTAATGTAAAATACGATAGTGCGTTACCTGTCGAACGACTACTCACAAAATGTTATCTATACCGTTTATTTAAAGACAAAGAAAACTATATACATATTGTTAAGGAGAGTAATCATTGTCATCGTTTCTTCCACCTCAGAACGAAACCCACCTGGAATGCGGATTCGATTTGCATTAAAAAAATCGAAATAAATCTGATACATACCTTATAATTTTTCACGAGAAAGATGTCCAGAGACAATTGTTTTTGCCGACGCTTCAAAATTTGGCGAACATGCGACACAGCCTTATCATTAAATACATTTGCAGCGCGCATAGCCACTTCCTAATTAGGGTGATGCTTCTTTCTCAATGTAAAATGCAACAGTTTGCCATGTTTTCAGCATTTCTCTTATTTCACCAGAAGATTTTTGCTTTTCTGTTACCTCCTCCTTCTCCTCCTCTTACAAATTTCCTCCAGTACTTCTTGCTGTGAAACACAATGCAACTCCATAAGCTCTTGGGTGGTCAGCTCTTGGCTGTGCTCTTCCACAAGCTCTTCGATATCACTGTTATCTACCTACAATCCCATGATAGTGGCTAAAGACACAATCTCGTTGACTACAGGTT